GCACACATGATGCTGAGCAAATCTCACAGCCAGGTGAGCAGCTTCACTCTCATAGTTTTTTCTCTTTCTTGGAAGAACATAGACAGCTTCTGTGCTCTGGCGTTGATTTCCTAGACATTTTGAAGGTTGAGCCAGAAGAAAGGCATCACTCAGTCCTCAGAATATTTTCCTCATGAGCTATGCCATGTTATTTTATTCCAAATGAAACACTCATGTTTCTCTTAGCATTACAAGTTCCTCTGACCCCACTAGCTTGGATGGCTGAGAATTAAGACAACCTTCAAGTGTAGACACATAACCATAGGCTGAGCTCCTAGCTCCAGGATTGTCAGTCCGTATTCAGAGGAAAACCCCAATTAGGACAGCATTTTGCTGCTTTCCTTCCCACCTATTGGCTAAATAGGAAAAATCATGCACCGTTATTTTGTGCCTGAAGTTATATTTCTTGCTTCATATTGACATTTCTCAACATTATTTTCTTTTGTATGAATTTAATTTGGCAAGTCCATCCAGGACCACATAAAGGGTTTGTTGATTCTTGTATTAGAATATCCTTGGATGAATGTCCTTCTGGTGGTAATGTGGAGGATTGGTTACAGTAGGAGAAACTAGAGAACTGATGAGCCATTAAGGAGGCTCTTACATCCTATTCTGTGCCAAGCTCTTTGTTAAGCACTGGGGATACAGAGATAAATTCATTCATTCCTTCATTTAAAAAGTATTTATTGAAAATAAACACATGGACAAAGAGAATAGATTAGTGGTTACCAGAGAGGAAGGGGGTTGGGGGTGTGCATAAGGGGTAAAGGGGCACATTTATATGGTGACTGACAAATAATAATGTACAACTGAAATTTCACAATGTTATAAACTATTTTGACAACAATAAAAAAAGAAAAAGTATTTATTCAGCCTAGTATGTGCCAATCATTATTCTAGGCTCTTGGAATATAGCAGTGAACAAGATGGATAAAGTGTCTGCCCTCAAACTTATATTCTTGAGAGAAATGGGCAATAAACAAGAAAACAAATTATGTAATTTTATGTGGTTATAGTTGCTCTGAAATAAAATATAAGCAGAGTAGAAGAAAAGAGTGATGGAGGGAATAAGAATGGTACAATTTTAGATAGAGGAAAAACATTCTAAGCAGAGAGAATAGAAAATCAGAAGCCATGAGGCTCAAACAAGCTTGGCATACCTGAGGCCAGCAAGAAGGCCAGAGTGTCTGGATGAAGCAGGTGAAAGGGAGAGTGGTAGAGAGATGTAGGCAAGGAGGCAGGAGGACCCAGATCATGTAGGCTTTGTAGGCCACAGTAAGGATTACTTTTCTAATTGATACTAAACCTTTAGAAGGTTTTGCCTAGGGAGTGACGTGGTCTGATTTACTTTTTAAAAAGCTCACTTGGGCTTCTGTATGGAGACTAGACAATGAGGCACCAAGAATAGCAACAGAAGTAATTCAGGGGAATGGTAATGGCAGCTGGGATAAGGAGTGGTTGGATTCCAGTATATTTTGAAGGTAGAGCTGATGGGACTTATTGGTGGGTTAGATACAGGATATTAAAAAGGGAGGGTTCAAAAATGACTCCTAGGTTTGGGGCTTGAGCGACTAGCTGAAGCGAGCGGGTTTGGAGGGTAAAATCCAGAGTTCTGTTTTGGACTTACCAAGTATGAAATGCCTGTTAGATATCTACGTGGAGAACAGAATGGACAGTTGAATATATAAAGCTGGGGCTCAAGGGAGAGGTCAAGACTAGAGCTAGAACTTTGGGAGTCATTGTTGTACAGGTGATATTTAGAGCCTTAGATGAGATGAGATAACTAGGGCGTTAAGAGGTCAGAGATCTGAGCTCTGGGACACACTAACCTTTAGAAGTCTGGAAGCAGAACAGGAGCCAGTGAAAGTCAAAAAAGTTGCCACTGGGCAGGAGGAAAACCAGGAAATGTGATTCTGTAGAATATTCTGAAAAGAGTATTTTAAGAAGAAGGAAGTGGAGATCAATTGTAGAATGCTGCCTAGAAGTCAAGTAAAATGATGAGACAGGTCTGCTGTTGGATTTGGAAACATGGATCTTCAAAAGAGAGGCTTCAGTGGAAGATAGGGTAAAAGTGGGTTAAAAAAAAAGGGATTGGATAGAAAGTTTAGGGTGTTTATTTTATTGCTATACTTTATAATATGTATATGTATGTATCAAATGTTACATCGTAAAAATGGTTTTAAAGTGAGAATGGGTGGTTAGGGAGTAGAAACTGGGAGTATAGACAATTACATTGAGGAGTAAATAAAACAATCCCTGGGGCCGGCACCGTGGCATACTGGTTAAGTGCGCGCGCTCCGCTGCTGGCGGCCGGGGTTCGGATCCCGGGCACGCACCGATGCACCAGTTGTCAGGCCATGCTGTGGCGGCGTCCCATAAAAAGTGCAGGAAGATGGGCACGGATTTTAGCCCAGGGCCAGTCTTCCTCAGCAAAAAGTGGAGGATTGGCAATGGATGTTAGCTCAGGGCTGATCTTCCTCACAAAAAAAAGAATAAATTAAAAAATAAATAAATAAAACAATCCTTTCCCTGAAAGAGTTTGTGTTAAGCATTGGGGGTTCAGATCACTTAAGCAGTGATAAGTGGCAAGTGCAGGGTGCCATGGAACCACAGAGAAGGGTTTCCTATCCTGACCTGGACACCAAGAAAGGTCCCCTGGAGGAGGTGATGCCTAAACCAACACGTGAGGCCATTTCAGCAGAGGTGTCTGGGTAAGAAATAGTATTCAGTTCAGTGTTACTGGCTTGTGAAATGTAAGACTTCTGTTTCACCAGCAGGCAATGTGAAGGCATCAAGCTTGAAAACAAGGGACCATTGGGGCCGGCCCGGTGGCGCAAGCGGTTAGGTGCATGCGCTCCGCTGCCACGGCCCGGGATTCGCTGGTTCAGATCCCGGGCACGCACCGACGTACTGCTTGTCAGGCCATGCTGTGGCAGCGTCCCATATAAAGTGGAGGAAGATGGGCACGGATGTTAGCTCAAGGCCAGTCTTCCTCAGCAAAAAGAGGAGGATTGGCAGATGTTAGCTCTGGGCCAATCTTTCTCACAAAAAAAAAAGAGAAAGAAAACAAGGGAGCATGATTGATTTTTGTTTTTTTTATTACCTCAAAGCATTTAATGAACATTTGTTGAGTGAATGAATCTCTCGACTGGATGGGATTTCTCCTAATGAGCTTCCACAGTGCTCTTACATCTGTTATGGGTACTTAACATAGTTGATCTTCTGTCATCCTTGTTTATTCAGTTCAATAGATTAAACATTGACTGAGCACATACTGTCCACCAGGCACTGTGCAAAGATGGAGGGGCTTGTGGAGGAAAGCGACAAGCAAACAGTGTGATGGCTGCTATGAGAGGGGATGGGCCAAGTGCTCTGAGAGCCAAGAAGGAAGAACCTGACTAACTTGGCTTAGGGAATGTCAGAGAAGGCTTTACAAAGGCAGTGGCAATTAAGTTGGGCTTTGAAGGGTGAGAAGAGTGTTTACCAGGCAGATGAAGGGAGGAACGTCCAGATAGGGAACAGCATGTTCAGGTCAGAGGCATGTTTGTGGATGGCAAGAAGTCCAAGTGCAGCTGGGGAGTAAAGAATGTTGGAAAGGAGTGAGCAAGAATAAAATACAGATTTTGACGTCTAGTCGTGGTAGGTCTTGAATGTCTAGGAGTTTTATATCATTTTCACAGGCAGGGGGAGCCACCTGAAAGCTTTTAGGCAGAAGAGTGACATGATCAGAAGTTATTACTTGGTAGCAATTGAGGAGAATTGATTGGAGTAGGAGAGACTGGCAGCTGAGATACCAGTCAGGAGGGTGAGGAGCATCGACTTGAGCTACACTGAAGATTGTATCGACGGGCCTTGGTGATAGATTGTGGAAGGTGAGGGAATGGAGACTCACAGATGACTGAAGTCTGCAGGATTGGGTTTGGGTTTACTAATTGAGATGGAATATAGCAAGGCAAGCAGGTTTGGGGAGGGAATTAAATTTTTTGAAGTGTGTGAGATACCTGGGTGGAGGTAGACGGCTGGGGACGAGGATTTGTGGCCTAGAAGGGGGTCTGGGATGAAATCCTAGGAGAACTATCAGTGTTTTGGGAGACAGGTAGAAGAAAAGGTTAATGAGGGGGTACTGAGAAGGTATGGTTTGATAGGTCAGTGGAGAACTGGAAGAAAATGGTATGAGGAAGCCTAGGGAGGGATGCATTCCAGGACGAGTGTGGGCAGCGTTTGTCTCTAAGAGGTTAGGTGTTGTGAAGACCAAAAGAGACTGTTGGATATGTTGATTGAAAAGTCATTGGTGACTTTGGTGAGAACAGTTTCAGAGGGGTGTTTGGGGAGAATCCAGTCATGTGTCGCTTAACAATGGGGATACGTTCTGAGAAATGCACCATTAGGTGATTTCGTCATTGTGCGAACATCGTAGCGTGTACTTACACAAACCTGGATGGTATAGCCTCCTACACACTGAGGCTGTGTGGTACTAATGTTATAGGACCACCATCGTATATGTGGTCTGTTGTTGACTGAGACGTTGTTATGTGGCACGTGACTGTAGTGGCGGGCTGAAGAGTGACTAAGGAGAAAGGAAATGAAAACAATAATTATAGCCTATTATTTTTAGAAATTGGGTGGTGAGAAGAGAGGGTGATGGGAACTATGTCTTCTTTTCTCTCCTTGTAATGCTTCATGCCTGGGTGACACTGAGTAAATGCTTGAGTGATTAAGCACCAAGGATAGATACGATTAGAGCAAATCTGGGTAATTTTCTTCTCAGTGCTAATTTTCCTCTGGTTCCTCTCACATCACAAAGAAAAGAAGCCAGGTGGTACTTTTCTCTCTGTTTGATATTATGTGCTTCAGAGGATTACTTCACCTTCCTTTGAAATACTTAGTAGATAATAGCTGTCCCTTCCAATGTAAGCAATGGTTATTGGGAAAACTCTGCTTAAATTGTTTTTTATAAGCAGCTTATTAACAAGTTGTTTAAAATAGCAAGGAGTGTATTTAAATTGGTGAAGTTTCTAATGTTATGAACTTCTTTTTTAATTCAGCCCTCAGCAGGGAGAGCACCTATCAGCAATCCAGGAATGGGGGAAGCAGGGAACTTTGGTGGGAATAGCTTCATGCCAGCAAATGGCCTCACTGTGGCCCAAAACCAGGTAAACACTGAGTGGTTCCAGAAATGCAAAACACAGACAATCCTAAATTTATTACTTCCTTAATGATTCTAAGGCTAAGTACCCAACTCATTTCTCTCTTGTAAAGGGACTCAGATTTACATAGGGGAGCTGATTCAAAGTAGTTGCTAAAATCTTTCTGATTTAAATCTTCAGGTGCTAAATTTGATTAAGGCTTGCCCAAGGCCTGAAGGGTTAAACTTTCAAGATCTCAGGAACCAGCTCCAACACATGGCTGTAGCCTCAATAAAGTGAGTATTTGGTTTCCGTCAGCTAGGGCTCCAGAATTTTACCTATTTCACCTCACCAGGGTTTCCTGGTAATGAGAAGTGAGTTCAAAAATTTTTTTTCATTTTTCTTGATGGAACTGTCTGTTAACTGCAACCTTATTGACAGAAGGGAAGTTGTTTAATCGTGGAAAATAGAAAAAGGACTCACAGAGATGATGCTACCCATCACATCACTCGTTCATTTGTTCATTCAACAAATACTAAATCCCGTTATGTGCGGGGATATAATTTTGAGCAAAAATTGACTAGATAAATCTGACCTCTTATGGGTTTAGTCTGGAGGGGTGAGGTCCTTAGCTCCCGGTCCTCCAGTGTACAGTCCCATTGGCGTGACTGTCCCCTCTGTGGAGATGTGTGCTTCAGGCTATCTGAGCCTGAAGCCATTAGACAGTCCCTCCAACGTCCTTGTCCTGATTCCATGTTAGGCAAGCAGCTTCCTGATTCCAGTGAACTAATCAAACAACTGAGTATTGTGGTGCTTGTGATAGTTGTCACTACAAATCAATTGATATTCTAGGCCTCCATAGAGAAGAAATGCTAGGGTCTAACTCCATTTCCTGTCCTATAAAATGAAAATATTATTCCTATCTCAGACTTGCTTTGATAATGAGGTACAGAATCACTGTCACATAGTAGATGCTCTATAAGTTGTTACTGTTATTAAATATGTTACTGACACTGACCCTGAGGGCCTTGAAATGTTTGAAGGTGTCATACCGTTTCTGGAAAGACCTTTCCATTACTTCCTACAACTTCTCAGAGGAGGAGCTAGAGGATTGGTGGGTGGAGAGGAGGAACTTTTAAAAATAGCTGTTTATATTAGGAGATTTTATGTGCAAGCTGGACTATAGCTTTTGATTCTTGTTTCGATTTGCTTAGACTGATATTTAAGGCAGGCCCTATTGTCTTGCCTTTGCACAATTTGGGAGAGGGATCCAAAGTGGCCCTCATAGCCATTGTCTCTCCATGGGTTACCTCAGTTTTGTGATTTTACTGGCATTTCTCCCTGCAAGAGCCCTCTGTGAGCAAAATAGCTGTGAATTCTTAGCTAAGATAGAAAGTGGGGAAGTGAGTGAAGTTTACATATTTGGCCATATCCAAAAGGCAGTTTCCTTTCTTCTGCATTGGTTTGAAAATGAGCCTTTTTTTCCCTTTCTTTCTAGGCAAGCTGTGGATTTTCTTAGCAACGAGGGACACATCTATTCCACTGTGGATGATGATCATTTTAAATCCACAGATGCAGAATAACTGGATCTAATTGGGTACCTGAGATATTTTCCAACTGGACCTATTTTCACAATCTGTTGTTTCCAGCTGTGCATATGTTTGGCCAGTTGAGTTCTAGGAAGTAGGTTTTATCTATACTTGGTCTCAATTGACATCCTTTTGAAATTTACTGCTCTTCTGGTTTTTTGAAGCTCGAAGAGAGATCAACTGACAAGAACGTAAATCCAGGCGGAATTTCTTAAAGTTACAAATAAGCTGTTCACAACATAAGGATAGATGGATTTGGAAGAGAGATTCTACCAAGAAAGTTTGGCAGTGTTACTTAAACAATACTCGGGAGTTCTATTCCTAAAATGTTTTCTTTTGAGAGAAGATGAGCAAGACTAGGGCATATCAGCAGAGAGCTAGCCCAGAAACCTGCTAACCTCTGCCTGTTTTTGTTCCCCACTTTAGTTATGTGGCTTTACTTTCAGAATTGCACTTTCCTTCATCTTGTCATGACTGCTGCTGAAAGTGTGTTTTTATGAACATGAGGTTCTTGAGTGGTGGCCTCAGGGGCAGAGGAGAGAAAGAATTGTTATTATGTTTTGTACAAAGTAAGTACATCCATATGTTTAATAAAATAGTGCTATTATTGCAGAACTTGTGAAAATGTTCTTTTCTTTTTAAGTGGTATAATTAACTGCTTTATCACGTGAGGCAGTGGAGCATAGCTTCACTTGGACTTGAAATCCTGGCTCTCCCGCTTTTTAGTTAGGATCTTGAGCAGGCTACGTTAGCTCTGAGAGGCTTCATTTCCTCATTTATGAAAAGAACAGTGTTATTTCCTTATAGGTTTCTTGTGAAAATCGAATAAAATAACATTTGTAAAGCATCTAGCATTGCCATTAATAGGGGTTAGAAAGTAACCCTTAATTTTGACTCTCTAGCAGTGTATGATCACAGAACTGAATCGAATATCTACCATTTGACCTCAGATGAGACTCTCTAAAGTCTCTAAAGGCCTACAGCTATTTTTTGGCCAACTTAATCAGCTCCATTTCTCGTGGGAGAAGAAACTAGTTCAAAGATGTTTTTGACAACTTCAGAAAGTAAGCTATGTCTTAAATGAAAGAACTAATTCTAAGACAAGTTAATGAGGTGTAACATGCAAATAAAAATTCTATAACTGCTTTCTGTGTGTCTAAATGAGATCTTCTAGCAGCTGTGTGGAAAAGGCTCTACCCCCCTGGTTTCTAACAATGAACAACAATCTGGCTGTTATTTTATGTATATATAGAATAGTTCCCATCTGGTGAGCTATGTTAATGCTTAAAAGTCAGTCAACCAGTATGTTTATTTGCAAATATGTCCATTCTTGATTAGTTCCTAAAGGACAGTGGCTAAAAACAGGTTTAAAAATCATACATTTGAATTTGGAATGCATGATAGGATACTTTGATGAGTGGTTGACATCTCTTTCTAGTCATCATGCTAGTGCCCTCAGATGGGCATGGCCGATAGCAGTGGTTCTGGGGGGAAGTCTTTTTTCTTTTGATTTTGAATTTGATGATTTAGCAATTAAAAACTACTTACTCATTAGTTCAACAAGTGTTTATTGAATACTTACTTTGTCAGCCCATTGGTCTAGGAATATAAAGTAAAGATAGGAGTAAAATAAAACTAGGAATATAAAGTAAAATAAGAGATTGTTGTCACGGGATTTGCTGGTTCAACATTCCTGGTAGAACAGAGCAGCTGCCCAGTGGTACTGAATGCCCTGCTATCTTGGCATTTACACAGTCTCACAGGAGTTGTGTGGTTTCTGAGCACTACAGAGGCCTGTGCCAAGGAGGAACTTTCTGTCTCACTTTCTTGCTTATTGCTTGTTCCAGAGCATAGGGAGTCTACTCCTCAGCAGAATGAAACTCCAGCCTTTGTAGGGCTTCTACCCTGCTCTAGCAGGAGGCACTTGCATTTTGGGTGTTTGTGGTCACCTGGGATGTCATGTATTCAGCGTTCTCTTGGCACGTTGTTAAGACAGCAGGAACAGTGATGTGACCCAAGTTCTTAGAAACCCCCTAGTGTCCCAGTCAAGCAGTGAGTCCAGGCTGCTCCCAGGAGAACCTTTTTCTGGGTATAGTGGTGAGAAATGAGGCTCCTTAGGAAATAGTAGTACTTTATTGAGTTTAACTAGAGAACGGCCAATAAGAATTAGTGTCTGACCTAGATTAATAGATTTGTTTTTAAAAATGCAGTTGAGGGAATTCAAAACTCAATAAATTTTTGAGCATGCATCCCCAGTTTATATTCAATCATTTAGCAGTTATTTACATCTATTACTGTATTAGTGTGTTATATACATTATATTCAAAAATAGAAATGAAAAAAGATATTAAAAATAAATATGAAAGGATACACTAATAATTCTTTTCTGTTTCCCGGTGGGTCATCTTGTGGATTCCCAGGATTGTGTGCTCACTTTGGAGACCACTGCTCAGGGGGAATCCCTAGCCCCATTATAACACCCTCCCCACCACCCAGCGGCTTATTGCAGAGGTAAAGACGACAAAAGCCTTTGGTCCATTCTTTGCCAACCTCCATTGCTCTGAGAAAATTGTGGTTTTTAAACATGTTTTCCTTTTAAGTCCAGCTTTCCTTGCTGTGAAATTTCTTTCTCCTCATTGCAGCATCTGGCCACTCAGAAATCCCCTTCTGTAGGAACTGGTAGCCCTCTCCTCTGCCCCACTTTTGTGATCTTGCTTAATTTGGTGCCAAGGTTAAGTGCAAACGTGGAAGTGAAAACTACTGGCATTTTGCATGTGGGCTTGGCCCCTAGGGGTACTGTGCCAAGGAGGAACTTTCTGTCTCACTTTCTCACTTATTGTTTGTTCCAGAGTACTCTCTTCCTCAGGGTCTTCCTGTGCAGCGTAGATGGTCTCTCTGGAGGAAGGCCTGGGAACTGGTGGGATGATGAGGATGGGGCACTAGATACTGGGGACTGGCTCAACAGCCTGTAGTAGCCACTCAGTAGTCACCTGGAGACTCCATGCTGGGGTATGGAAGCCAGGAGGCCAGGGAGGTGCAGTGGGAGCCAGATAGCCAGAGACATGTTAGCAGGCAAAGGCAGGACACACTCAGGTGCAGTGCCTGGAATCTAGGAGCTGGAAATTTGACCTCTTTCAGCTCCTACCTCATCTGGAGACTCAGATCATCTTTTTGTCCATTTCCTGTCCTCTGACTGTGGTGCTTAGTTCTGTGACTGCATCAGTCTAGGAACCTACCACCACTTTCAGGAAATGAGGCCTGTGGTTTTATCTCACTGAACAGGCCTAGACCTTGGAAGCTGAGTTAGTCTCTGCGTGGACACAGGCGTGTACTTGTTCTCTTATCTCCATGGTAGTGGATGGTAAGGCTCTCCAACCAGTCAGTACACTGTCTCCACAGTCTAGGAACATAGTATATTTCAAACACTGGGTGAATTCCATGACTAGGAGACTGGGGGGGGTGTGGCAAGAGGACAGGCACAGCTACGTGATCTTAGTCAACAATAATTATACATTTTTCTTGAGTGTTCATTATGTGCCAGGCACTGTGCTAAATGCTTTACGAAGATTATCTTATTTGATCCTTAAAACAATCTTGTGAGGTAGATGACTATTAGTTTCATTTTACATGTAAAGAAACTGAAGCTTAGGTTAAAATAACTTGCTCATAGTCAGCTCATAGGTGGTGAGCCTAACCCCGGCTCATGACTAGTCTGCCTCCTGAAGCGCTTGACCACTCACGCTTGTTTTCTTTCTTTTTTTTTTTTTGTGAGGAAGATCAGCCCTGAACTAACATCCATGCCAGTCCTCCTCTTGCTGAGGAAGACCGGCTCTGAGCTAACATCTATTGTCAATCCTCCTTTTTTTTTCTTTTTTTCCCCAAAGCCCCAGCAGATAGTTTTATGTCATAGTTGCACATCCTTCTAGTTGCTGTATGTGGGACGCGGCCTCAGCATGGCCTGACAAGCAGTGCGTGAGTGCGCGCCCAGGATCTGAACCCCGGCCGCCAGTAGCAGAGCACGCGCACTTAACCGCTAAGCCACGGGGCTGGCCCCCTCACGCTTGTTTTCTGATCTTTAAAATCAGGCCAGTGTCTACCTCAGAGAGTTGAGGATGTAGATAGGGTTTGTAAAGGTTCTGGCTCACAGACAGAACTTGATAAGTAATATGTTATCATTTTTTCCGGAAGTTCAGATGTCATTTTTATTCTGTGGTTTTAGAGTGAAATACTCTTAGATAGTCACCTACAGCTATCGTGCTGAGTGCTACAGAGCTGGGGAGACAGTCCTGGTCTCTCAGGGGCTTAGAGCCTTGGTGGGGGAGGAGGAAGAAGATTGGCTAGCCCTCAGTGGCGGGAACATAGAACCTGAGGGAAGCTAGTGCAGTGTCCATCCCATTTCAGTCCCCACAAAGCCATTTCCTGTCCACAGTCTGATTTCTGTGAGACCTTGTCCAAGGTCTTGCAAAGGCTTGTAACAGTTGGCTGGTATCTCGCATTCCCTGAGGAGCAGCAGTTAAGAAGTGTGGTTCCTCCAGCAGCTAGACGGTGTTCCGAAATTGCTCAGCTATTTCTTCGTAATCGTGTTCATCATCATCTGCAAAAGAGTCTACGTCAGTGAGGATCTTTGGCCTCAGGCAGGTTTCTTCCCTTCTTTAGGGTACACTGGACAGGGAGGAGTTGGTCTGGATGCTCTAAGATCCTTGCTAGCCCAGAAACCACAATTTGTTCTGTCTGAACACTTTGCAAACGTTCCTCCTATATGCCTTGGGGAGAGTAGTGTGTTGGGGGAGGAACTCATTTTTTTGCCAGGGCTCTGGAGCCCCTAGGAGCGGGTCAGTAGGGACCCTTCAGCCTAAGCCCACCCTGTATAGGCCTGTTCATCCCACTGGGACAGTAGAAAGGTCTGCCTGTGGGCAGAGCCCTGCTGAGAGTATGACCAGCACCATCAGAGATGAAAGCAGCAGAGGAGCGGCAGGGAGGGGAGAAGCAGGGACAAGGGTGAGCAGCGCTGACAGGGACTCACCTGGATCCTGTATATCGGGCTTGGTGGGCCTGAGGCCCTTCTTGTGGGCAGGAATCTTGCTGTACATATTTGACCTATCTTTGGCAACCTCTGGTAAGGTCTTCTTCTTGGCTTTGGGCAGCAGAGGGGGTTGCTGCATTTCTAAGACTTGAGAAGACTAAGTGAGAAAAAGCAGAAGTCAGCAGGGTCCCAAGAAGTGGGGTGGCAGAGTCCATGAAATGTAATTTCCTTAGAATGTTACTTCCCCTGCTCCCCTCTACTTCCTTTTCAGGGTAGGGCTTCTCAGGATACCAGTGTTTTTGCTACAAGCATATGAAATGTTCTTTGGCAGGGGAGAAAAGGCCAGAGTGAGAGATGATAGGGTTGGGGGCTAGAGACAGTGTCCCTGAGTTCTCCACAGAGAGCTTGGGTCAGTGTCCTTCAGATCTGTTGCTGAAGGGGGAAAAAGCAATCACAAAGCCTCAGAACAGAGTGCCAGAGCTGAGAGGCATCCCAGAAGAAAGGACTTTTATTGAACCCCTACCTCGTGCCAGATGCTATATGCATATCTGCTCATTTAATCCACAGGTGACACTCTGAGTAGCTGGATCACTTCCCAATTTACACATAAGGAAACAGGCTCAGAGAGAGTGCCGTGTCAGACCTCACACAGGATCCCTAGCTGGGCCAAGGTTTGGACCCAGAATCATGTCCATGACCTCTGAAGCCGGTGCTCTTTCCACCACACCTGCTTTAGAGAGCAAACAGGATAGCTCCCCTGATCAGCATCGGAGAGTACTCATGCCCAGAGAGCAGAAGTTGCTGGTTCAGGGCAACAAGCAGGAACTGGGCCCAAAGTCACTTCCATGAGGAGCCAAGGCTGGAACTGAGGTCTCCTCTCAATTCTTTGTACCATATTCTTTCCAGCACTGTTGGAAGGCCTGTGTTCCAGATGACCCAGTCCGTTCTTTGTCCTGTCAGAAAATGACTGCCTTATCCGCTTCTGGGGCTGAGAACACTCAAGATTCATCTTTTTTACTTCCACTGCCATCCCACTACCTACCCACACAGTACGAAATATGAGTCTCCCTAAATCCCAAAACGATATGCTTGCCACAGTTCAGCAAGTGGTTTTTATATAAATCACCCCCTCCTCTTCTCAGAGCAGAGTACGTAGGCGCTCAGGCCATGTGGTCAGACCCGATTTCAAACCCCAGCCCGCCACTTGCTAGCTGTGTGATCTCAGGTAAACTACTTTACCTCTCTGTGCCTCTTGTTTTCTCAATGGTAACAAGAGATGATATCAGTGCCCCCCTCAGAGGGACAACATGAGCGCTAGGTGGGGCAATGCATTAAGGTGCCAGCCACAAAGTAAGCACCCAACAGGTGGCAGCTAATGAGACAGCACTGTGAGTAGTGATGTTATGTCAGGCTCACTGGGAGAAAACGGATGCTCAGAGAAGGAGTACAGGCCACAGAGCGAGTCAAGGAGATGTACACTTAGTCTCCCTGTCTCTGTGGCTGGTTCTTTCCCCCTTTTTATGATTCAGTTTGCTTCAGTTCAGTGCCCACTGGCACCTCCTCTGTCCACATTGGAGCAGCAGGGTCCCTGCCCCACAGAACTCTCATTCTAGTTAGACTCAAGTACAACTAACTGAAAACTACACCTCCCTACCCCCAAGCTCCGTACAACACACAGTGTGAACACAGAAGAGGAAGGACGATCGCTGCCTAGGAGGAAACCTCATGAGCCTGAAAGGAGGAGGAACATTCCTGGCAAAAGGCCCGGCATGTGTCAAGTGCTGGGCAGGAATCCTGGCACACTGAGGGAGCTGCAGGATGTCTTTGTGGCTGGAGCGTGGCCTACAGAGTGGGTGGTGGGAGATGGGCCTTGGAAAGCAAGACTGAAGTCAGCTTCTAAAGGACCCTGGATGCCATATTAGGGGTCTGCATTACCCCCTGGCAATGGCGAGCCACTGAAGGTTTCAGAAGGGGGGGGGGCCAAGGCCCGTCGTTGACCAGGGGAGGATTTGGGAGGCTGTTCTGACAGCTGTGGGGAGAAGTTGAAGAGGCTGCTGAAACAGTTTAAGTGAAAAATGACGAAGCTGGAACTAGGGAGTGACAGCAGGGGCGGCAAAGAGAGCCCAATGACCGTGGAGTCAGAATGCTGATGCTGCAGTGCAGGCCTCCCATGTATGAACTGTGCGACTTGGGGGAGTCTCAGGGTCTCTGAGTCTTCATTTTCTCAACCATGAAATATGGATAATCACTCCAACCTCAGGATTGTCAGGATCAAATAAGAATGATAGGTGCAAAGCGTGTACGTTTATAAACTGCAGGTTCTATACAATTGTAAGAGAAGCGTGACACTAGACAGACAAGAAATGGCAGGACCTGTAATGACCTCGACAGGTGACCCTCCTGCCCCTTCAGTTATATTGATACCTTATTGCCTCTCTCCTTGCTGCTCGGCTGCTTCTGCTTGCTGAGGCCCTGACGTTTTGGGGGCCGGGGCGGGGGGGTTTGGCTCTCAAAGGCGGGTAACTTCCGAAGGTGGTAGTAGAAGGCCTCCGTCAGCTCCTCCACTGTGGCTACAGGGAGAAACCCAGCTGGCGGGCCTGGCTGCCCCTCGGCCTCCACAATAGTCAGGTCCAGCCACCGGGGAGGGATCTCAAAGCACATCCCAGGCTTGGAGTCCAGGCCAACCACCAAGAAGGGTTCCGTGATCTTCTCCTCCAGCCGCAGGCCCGGGAAGGAGGGCAGAGGGTCAGCAGTGTGGCTAGTATCCTTGGCCACCACCTTGACTTCACAGGGCAGTGAGAACTGGGTAGTCAAATCCTCCAGGCTGTAGCGCCGGCCATCGCTCATCTCCTCCACGAAGCCGCCGGAGAAGTAGAGGGGCAGCACAACCTGTTCTTGGTCCTCCGCCTCCTCTTCCTCCTCTTCCTCCTCTTCCTCCTTGGTCTGGTCACTCAGCCGCTGACACACCAAGACATCTACATCCCTGCCTTGAACCCCATGGGCCTGGCCAGACCTCAACACCTCCAGCCTGTCACCCACAGCCAGGGAAGCGAACCCGGAGTTCTCCACTCCCTCGCCCTCATAGTCCTTCGTGGCCACCACCCGGAGTGGCCGGCCTGGCTGGAGAGCACCCAGAAGGTCATAGGCCGTGGAGAACTCTCTTGGCCGCCGCCGCAGCTTGCCCTGGTAGGCCCCTGAGACCATGAAGTGTCTGGGCACCTTCCGGCCCTTGGTTGAGACCAGGACCCGCCAAGGGGGCGAGGCCAAGCCATAGATGCAGAGCCTCTCGCCTTTCTGCAAGGAGCCCATCCACGGACTGAGGAAGATGGGGGGCCCCTCTGGAACTTCCAGAATCTCTGTGGGCAGGGGGAAGGGTCCTCCTCGGGCCAGGACCTCGCTCAGCAGCAGCGGTTGGATGAAGTGGACGTGCTGAGAGGTGGCAGTGATATCTTCCACGTCGACCTCCAGGGTGGAAGGGATCTTGACGATGGTCCTGCGCACTGCAGAAGGGGAGGTCAGCTCAGGGGCGCATCACACGCCACCCCGGTGGTTCACCCTCCACCCCAGCAGAGAGGTCTGGACTGACTGGCCTCTTTCTGTTCTCATCTTTTCCTTCCTACCAGCTTTTTCCTCGTGTACCAGATTCCTTGCCCACTCCTTTCCTTCAACCTCTTTTTAAAAAAGTTATTACAGAAATTTTTAAACATTTATAAAAGTAGAACAGTATAGTGAACCCCCATATACCTATCACCTAGCTTCAACATCTAACTCATGGTCCATCTTCTCTTATACACCATCTGTCTAGTCCCCCTCCACTGAATTATTGTGAATCAGAGTCATCATGCCATCTGTGACTATTTCAGTGTGTATCTCTAAAAGGAGGAATAGGGCCGGCCCCGTGGCTTAGCGGTTAAGTGCGTGCTCTCCGCTGCCGGCGGCCCGGGTTCGGATCCCGGGTGCGCACCGAGGCACCACTCCTCCAGCCATGCTGAGGCCGTGTCCCACATACAGCAACTAGAAGGATGTGCAGCTATGACAGACAACTATGTACTGGGGCTTTGGGGGAAAAATAAATAAATAAAATCTTTAAAAAAATAAATAAATAAATAAAAGGAGGAATAATTAAAATGAGCAAAAACATAACCATAATGCTATTACTACAACTAAATAATAGTAATTCTCTGGTAATTCCTTAATATCATCAAATATCCAATCAGTTCAACCACTTTTTAAATTTTAATTAAATTTTGAATGTAATTTTGTAAGCTGCCTTTCCAAATCCTTTCTGGATTTAAATAAAGAGATAAAACCAAATGAAGAAAAACACTGACTGAACGACCGTGGGCAACTTGTTTCCTCTCTGGGCGAAGATCAGTACCTGGTGTATAGACTCAGGAGGCGGCTCTGTCAGTCAGAGGAAAACTGGCCCCTCCACTGTACTGTTTGATCCACGGAGCAGGGAACAGCCTCCCCACTTCACAGATGAGGACACTGAGGCTCAGGGGATGCTGACTTCCCTCAGGTCACATTGTGGGATTTTTGCTTTGTGCCAGATGAGTTGATAATTGGTTGAAGCTGGGAGATGGGCACGTGGGGGTTCATTGTACTGTTCTGTTTTTACTTCAAAATACTTTATGGATTAGCTGAGCTGCCTCATTATCCAGCGCAGCCTCCCAAGCCCCACTCACCATTAAAACCCCTGGCTCCCCAGACTGTGGTCTCTTACTACCATTTCCCACAAGAGCCCAGGGCTCCCTGGGAGAGAGCCTACTTCAGTTTCTGGGGAGGAAATGGTCGAGATGAGCCTGGAACATTTTATAGCACAAAGCAAGAAAATCTATTCAAGACTACACAGGTATGTCAAAAGGATTCAGGAACCAACCTGAAAAGGCTTCCACTGGCCAAAGCTGAGATAATTTGAGCATCAATAAGAATAATAACTTCAGTGGATTGGAACATTGAAAACATTTCATCTGTGAGTTCATTAAAAAAAAAAAAAAGCCCACAGGGCCGGCCCAGTGGCCTAGCGGTTAAGTTTGTGCGTTTCGCTTCGGCAGCCCGCAGTTTGCCAGTTCGGATCCTGGGCACGGACCTATGCACCACTCATCAAGCCATGCTGAGGCAGCATCCCATACAGAAGAGCTACAGCTCTACAACTATGATACACACACAACTGTGTACTGGGGCTTTGGGGAGAAAAAAGAAAAAAAGAGGAAAGACTGGCAACAGATGTTAGCCAATCTTCCTCAAAAAAAAAAACCCTAAATAATCACCCATGCTAGGGAACCAACTTTAAAAATAGCCAAACTATTTTTAAAACTAGTAAACAAAGGTTATGTCTTAGGACATTCCTCTGTGCAGCTGGTGGCAGCATGCTGAGCAGGGTTGGTGGATGAAAACGGCAGACCCTGGCCAGGTCTGGCCAGTCAGAGGCTGAGCCTGAGTGGAGGTAGAAGAATGGTGCCCGGGGCCTCTACATAGACAAACACAGCGCCCTGTATTTCCTGTACAAACTGTAACCAACGAGTAGATGACGGGAAGTTTCTCTCTACGTAGTTTCCCAGCTAATAAATGAAGAAGGAATGATAGGATTCACATATCACCATGGCAATTCCTAATGAAATCATGGATCTAGGCAACAGCCTAGATCAGCAACAGCAGCTCACCTCACAAACATTGGCCCATCGGTTGTGGTATTATTTGCCCCACACCACATGGCAAGGTTGGTGCTGCAAGTTCGTGAGGTTGGAGGCAGACACAGAGCCAGGTGGGGAGTCCCTGGCCCACACCTCATGCAGCAATGAGAAACCGTGTGCCTCCGGGGTCTGGTCAGGCCTCTAAGTGCCCATTTACAGCTGTGCAGAAAAGCGCTATTATGGCAGGCCTGAGACTGCTCTCCCTAGAAAGGCCTGGCTGCAAAGTCCTTGGCAAGCCTTTGGAAACATGGATTTCGGGAGGGTCCCCAACATGCTCTGATAAGAGTGGCTCACTGTGCCTAAACTGTACAATGTGGCTTATGCTGAACACCTTCTTTCCTTCCAGGAGTCTGGAATTTTGGTACGTGCTAGACAGGGTGCCTACGTGACCAGCCCCCAGTAAACGCCTGGGGCACTGAGTTTCTAATGAGCTTCCCAGTAGACACCACCTCATGCATGTTGTCACAGTTCAGTACCAGAGGAATTCAGCGTGTCCTGTGTGACTCCCCAGGGAAAGGACTCTTGGGCGCTGTGCTGAGTTTCCTCTGGACTTCACCTCATGCGCCTTTTCCCTTTGCTGACTGTGTTTTGTGTCCTCTCACTGTACTAAATCACAGCTGGGAGTACGGCTATATGCCAAGGCCTGGGACTCCCCTTAGTGAATCAACAAACCTCGGGGGGGGTCTCGGGGCCGACACAACAGGACATACAGGGTATGGAGGAGCAGGTTAACACCACCACTAGGATGCTCGCAACAAAATCCAAAACGTGAGAAGGCCTACAGGACAAATGGCCTAGTCCTTTCAACAGATAAATTACAAGAAAAATAGAGAAGAAAGGGGAACCAATAGATTAAAAGGGACTTAAGAGAGATTAACAGTCAATAGCAATGTTGTGAACTTTATCTGGATCCTGCTGTGAATAAACTGTAAAAAAATTTATGAGGGGCCGGGCGAGTGGTAGAGTGGTTAAGTTCCCACATTCTGCTTCAGTGGCCTGGGGTTCACCGATTCTGATCCCAGGCACGGACGTACACACCATTCATCAAGCCATGCTATGGCAGCATCCCACATACAAAATGGAGGAAGATTGGCACAGATGTTAGCTCGGTGTCAATCTTCCTCAAGCAAAAAGAGAAAGATTGGCAACAGATGTTAGCTCAGGGCCAATCTTCCTCACAAAAAAAAAAAAAAAACAACTTATGAGGAAATTCAAACAAGAAGTGGTGGTATTAGGAGTTATTATTAACTTTTTTGATATGATGATGGTATTGTGTGTCTGTTAAAAAAAAAAAAAGAGTGATTTAAAGCGGTGATTTTTGTGTGTGTGTGAGGATTGGCCCTGAGCTAACATCTGTGCCCATCTTCCTCCACTTTACATGTGGGACACCTGCCACAGCCTGGCTTGACGAGCAGTGCATAGGTCCACACCCAGGATCCAAACCCGCAAACCCTGAGCCACTGAAGCGGAGCGTGCGAACTTAACCACTATGCCACCAGGGTCATTTTTAAAAAGAGATACATATTGGAGTGTTTACAAAAGAAATGATACCTGGGGTTTGCTCTGAAATAATTGGGTGGGGTTGGGTGGGGAGAGATGAAACAGGTCATGAGTTGATAATTGTGATGTTAGGTGATGGGGTAATGGAGGTTCCTTATACTACTCCCTGCTTTTGTATATGTTTGAATTTTTCCATAATAAAGTCATTTTAAAAGATTTTTTTTTAAAGGCAAAGAATCCCTGCTTGGCTCTGTTGTCTGCCAGCAACACTGACCAGCTGTTTTCTAGGTAACTGCCAGGAAGTGGAACCTTGAACTCTCTGTCCTCCAGGGAACAGGTCCCCAGGGCACCATTCCTCTACCTACGCTCCGGCTTGGCCTCCGACCAGCCAGACCTGGCCTGGTTCTGCCTGTTTCATCAACCCTGCTCTGCATGGTGCCACAAGCCTGCACTGAGAACTGTCCTAAGAAATAACCTATGAAACAGCTGGGGGATTCACTCAGACAGTGCCTTTTGTCACCCAAACAGAAGCCCCTTCAGGAACAATCCTGTTATCCCCAGAGGCAAGAAAATATGTTTCTCCTGAGCAAATGGTCACTGTTTCATTTTGTAACACTATGTCTCTTTGTCCTAGCTGCTAGCAAGTTCATAACCCAACATTTGCACAATTTAATAAAGTACCTCACTTTTAAGTTATCCCATTTCCCTATCTCCTTTTATACCTAACTTCTCACTATTTGGGAATCTTTATTCTGTTGCTTCATATATACTGGTTAAACCACCTGGAATCTCTAGATTATCACTCAGATTGGGTGGCAGATGGGGCATATCTTTCATCAGAGTGGCTCCCCAGGGCCCCCCCTTTCCCTCCCCCACCATCCCCCACCCAGCTGCCCAGGCAACTCACGGTGCATGATGGCTTGGAGCTCATACTGGGGCCTCAGGATCAGAGCACGCCAGGGGATGGTGGGGCAGGTGAGGAGGAGGTCCCTCATGGCTGGGTCCTTCAGGGCTTGGAGCAGGGTCCGAGGGGCACCAGGCTTCCATTCCCAGAAGGGCCCCTGCTGGGACAGGGGCAGGTGCAGAATGACCCGATGGGCTCCTGTACCCAGCACACAGCGGGCACAGCAGGTCCCAAAGCGCGTTTCCACAGCCTCAAGCATGAGGGGCTCGTCCTCAGGCACCACCCTGGTGTCGGTGGTGATTCTGTGGGTCGACAGGAAGCAAACGGGCAGCTTCTTGGAGCTGTGGGTTACAGCAGAGACCAGCTCCTCCAGGGTTCCATAGCTCTGGGGGCCCGTGAGGGGACTGAAGCAGCCTGTGGGGCACAACAGAGGGTGTCAGGGTGGGGCAGGCCTTTGCTGGGTCCAGAGCCTCATATACCAGGCCCTGGTCTGGCTGCAGAGAACCCAGCCAGAATCCCCCAGGACAGGTGCTAAGGGGCATCTGGGCTGCAGGGCTGAGGGACAGCAGGCAGCAAGTGACCATGTGTGAAGGGACAGTGAGCGGCAGAGGTGGGGACAATGCCTTCCGATACAGACAGGCACAGACACAGAGGGATTGTCACCAGAGACAGGGAACAGAAGAGGGACACGTTCCCCAACAGACACACTGACGACTGCCACGTGTGCCTACCTCCTGACCCCTACCTGCCTGTGACTTTGCCAACTCTGCCTCCAGGTAGCTCACCTCTGCTCCAGTCCCATACATCCAACAGCGATCACCCCATCCTGGGGCAGCGCCATTGTCCCTCTCTCCCAAACTAGAACCTGGGACCTCTGCCCACCCTCCTGACTCCTACATCCTGTCTGCCAATTCTGGCTGCCTGACTGCTCTCTCTACCACCGCATCCACTCTTCTCCTGCCACCGGACTGGCCTCAAATATCCCCCGGCCGGACATAACATCGCTTCCAGGGTTTTCCTGCCCAAAACGCTCAACAAGAATCTAATCAAGGAAACACACAAACCTGGACTGAGGGACATTCTATAAAAACACTGGTCTGCACTCTTCAAAAATGTCGATGTCAAGACAAAAAGGCTGAGGAGCTGGTCCAGCTGTAACCCACAGCTGGACCTTCTCCTGCAGGCAAGGGGGGATCTGGGGTTGGATTGTGGGTCAATGGCAAACCCGGCTGTGAAGGACATTATCAGGGCAGCTGGTGAAATCTGCATACAGACTGTGGTTAGACAGTAGCACTGTATCATTATTAAATTTCTTGATTTTTTTGTGTGTGTGTGGGGGAGGAAGACTAGCCCTGAGCTAACATCTGTGCCCATCTTCCTCTACTTTACATGGGACGCCGCCACAGCATGGCTTGGTGAGTGGTGTGTAAGTCCACACCCACAATCTGAACCTGTGAACCCTGGGCCACCAAAGCGGAGTGCGCAAACTTAACTGCTACGCTACCGGGCCAGTCCTAAATTTCCTGAATTTGATCACTGAACTATAGTTTTGTGAGCAAATGTCCTGTTTTTAGGAGATATACTAAATATTAGGAGTACTATTTAGATGTAAAGGGGCATCATGTCTGCAATTTACTCTCAAATAGTAAAACATATACATATGCACATACATATATAGTAATATATGTTCACGCGCACATGTGTGTGTGTGTGTATGGAGAGAGAGAAAGCAAATGTAACAAAATATTTAACAATTGCTGAATCTGGATAAAGGCTTTACCATAGTTCTAGCAAGTCTTCTGTAAATTGGAAATTATTTAAAAAGAAAAAGAAAACCTTCAGGGGCTGGCCTGGTGACGCAAGCGGTTAAGTGCGCGCACTCCGCTTCAGCGGCCCAGGGTTCGCAGGTTCGGATCCCAGGCGCGCACCAACGCACCACTTTCCCAAGCCGTACTGTGCTAGCGTCCCATATAAAGTAGAAGAAGATAGGCATGGATGTTAACCCAGGGCCAGTCTTCCTCAGCAAAAAGAGGAGGATTGGCATCGGATGTTAGTTCAGGGCTGATCTTCCTCACAAAAAAAAAAGAAAAGAAAACCTTCAAAATACAAAATAAAACACATCACTTCCATATGTAAAACCCTCATTGGCTCCTCAATGCCTTCAAAATAAAGAAATGTGTCCGCTCCCCCCTTAAGACGCCTGGTGGTCTGGCTCTTGCTCACCTCCCCGCCGCTGGCCCCTCACCAGGAACCCATGGCCTCACCCGTCCGTTCGGGCGATCACAGTAAATGATACTGAGAACGAGCCCTCAGAGGGCGCCTGCTCTGTGCCAGGCCCTGCTCTAAGCGCTGCGTGCACGGCACCTCATTAACCCTCACATCAGGCCTGACCACCCCCTCACAGAGGAGGAAGCTGAGGCACAGAGAGGCCACGAGAACTCGCCAAGGCCACAGCGAGTAGCCGCCAGAGCTGGGACTCCCATCCGGGCTCTCGGCTTCAGTGTCCGGGCCCACGGTCCCCCACGCTTCAAAATAACTGCAATAACTGAGCTACCTGGGGTTTCTGGAGCACCAAATGTGCACGTGCTACTCCTTCTAGCTGGGATCCTTCCTTCAGCTCAGGTGTCACTTCCTCCAGGAAGCCTGCACAGACCCCTGAGTCAGGCTACTCCTGCCCGGAGCCGTCCCTAAACTTGCCCACTTCTACTGTTGCCCTCCACTCACTGTCATCCTGGAAGCTCATCCTGAGGCCCACACTCCCAGCCCCCAGCACAGGGCTTGGCACACAGCAGGTGTCAGTAAATGTTTGGTAAGTGAATGTGTGAGCAAACACAGAGACAGGCACATTGACAAAGACCTGGAACAAAGAAAGTCCCAGCGGAGAGGCAGGTGATCAGAGACATGGACAGGAAGAGGGCACAGCCATGCCAGGCTCAGGGCATCATCAGACCGCTGAGGACATCTGGGCCTGGAGGCTGTGTAGTGGTGGATGTGAGAGCTGCGTGTGCAAACCCAGAGGGGTGGGAGTGTGTGCCGGGGTCGGCAAGCCCACGAGTGAGTCCGCAGGTGTGCCTGGAGGCTGCCAGGGCAGTCGGGGAGACAGGTGCCAGCCTTACCCTGGAAGTTGGGGGCGAGCTCCATGGTCTGGCCCGTCCTCGGGTTCTCGCAGACCACCTTCTGGAGGCGAATCTGGGTGACCTTGATCAGGTCCCCCGTGGAGAGGCAGCACTCATTCCCAGAGATCTCGTAGATGGAGCCTGCGGAGATACAGACTCAGTTTCCCCGTTCAGCAAGGGTCAAGCACTGGGCGGCCTGTGCCCTGTTCCCCAACAAGCTCTGCTCTGCCACACCTTTGCACATGCTGTTCCAGCTGCCTGGAATGCCCTTCCCTGTCTTTCCCTATCTAATGACCACCGGCTCAGCTGCCTCGGGCAGCATAAACCTTGCCTTTGCCTTCTATCAGCGCTGGACGGACCCCTCTGGTACACTTCTCTGGCCTTCACATCCCTGTGCCTCCTACCCTGAGCTCACAGGGCAGAGCTGGTCCATCTCAGCATCACTGCAGCCGGCACAGCCATAGCCTCTAAGTACGTGTTCAAGTCAGGAATGAGTAAATAACCCAGTAGATCCAGACTCCTTTATTGTACAGCTACGAAATCAGGCCCAGAGAGGGTCTTTAGATGAATTGTTTTTAAAGGAAGCACAGGAGAGAATGGAGGGCCACTGACAGGTGAGCCCAGTCGGCAGTGCTCTGGGCCCCCCCCTTCAAGCACAGCAGCCCCACCTTTCAGGTGTCAAGTGCTTAAAGCAATGTCCAGAACATAGGAGGCGCTCAGTAAAGATGGCTCTCACACAGAGGGCACAGGCTCTCCATCCCACTCACAGGGGACAGGAAAGTGCAGGTGGGCGAGCTGTGAGGCCACCTGACCCCACCCCAGCCCCAGGGCAGCCCCAGCAGGGCCCTTCACAACAGCCCTGAGAAACCGGTGAAGACGTCACCGCTTCTCCCCAGGAAAGTGCACGCAGGCTCATAAAACACACACTTGTGGCTACAGCTTCAGGGGGTGGGCCGTGGAGGCCGGGCACTTACCATACACCTGGCGCCTCAGTCCTGAGGACGCATCATGGCGTTTAAGACCCGTAACTGCTCTCTTAGGGAGGGACAGTTTCCCCTACCTACAGAAGGAAACTGAGCCTCGAGAGGCTGAGTGGGTTGAGATCATCAGGTAATAGGAGGCAGAACTGGGTACCGGAGCCCAGGGCATTTGCCTCCAAAGCTGGAGCTCCTAACCACGCGGCAGACCGCTTCCGAGCGTCCCACTCGGCCACCTGCCCCATCAGTGTCACCACCTGTCGTCCTCCACACTCACCCCCATCTCCACACTCGCACCCGTCAGGCTCTTCTCTGACCCTAACTTCCGCCACTTCCCACCAGTGGGGTCAGGCAGAATGAGGAAACTCAGGTATTGTGACACACAGTAGGCAGGGGATGTCACGAGGAGAGCGGAGCACAAGTGTCTGCAGAAAGCCCCAGGAGGTAGAGGCAGGATTTGAACCCAGATCCGTCAGATTCCCAAGTGGACCTGGCGAGACCCACTGTGTGGTGGCCCTCCACGTGTCTGCCCCTCGGTCTAGGACCCACCTGGGGCCTCAGAACTTTACTGGAGGCTACTGTGGCAGAGCAAGGGAAGAGACAAAGGGAACAGGACGGGGCAGGGCACCCAGGCATTAGTTTCCTCTTAAGGAAAGAGCGTGCCCCCACCCCAGAGCCTCTCGGTTGCCTCTCTCTTCCACCTCCCCCTTCCCCACTCAGTCGTTCATAGCTCCTCCCTCAGCCTCACAGCAGCCCCCGCCTCCCCTCTGCTGAGCAGCTGCCCTCCCCCTTCCACCGCCTGTCAATCCCTCGCCTCTTGCTCTTTCAGGCAATAACTAGTGACTGAGTCCCTGCTGTGTATCCGTCCCTGTGAACCAGGTGGGCAGATGTGCGGGCAGGCAAGGAGCAGGGAGCCGGGAAGGCTTCCCCGAGGAGGAGCCATTTAAGCTAACTGAGAGCTGATCAGATCAAGTACTGCCCATGCCAAGCAGAGGGCAAAGGTGGGTTGGAGGGACTGAAAGGCAGTCGTGTAGATGGGTGTCAGGGGAGGAATGGGAGGGCACACGGAGGGGAGGACTGACCTGGCACTTAAGAATCAAGCAAAAGTTACGCGTCATGAGCGCCCTAAAGCCGCGTCCACAGCACAGTCGTGATCAATGCGCACAGCGGTTCCACCTCAGCGTGGCTCGGTTCCATCCACCTTCCGAGCCTGAGCCCACTGATTTCTCATCAGCATCCTGCGGGGCAATCAGCGATCCCCCATCCCACGGAAGCAAAAGCCGAGGCCCAGAGAGGCCGAGTGTGGCCCCAAATCACACAGCTTGGGCAGTGGCAGCGTCGGGATTCGAACCCGGGGTGCAGTTTCCCGGCCTTCCAACGCCCTGAAAGCGCCTCTGCCCCACACCCAGGGAGAGCCTGGCCGCGGTGGGGCCGGGGGTCGCAGGGGTCTCGGCCCTCCACTCACCCTGGAAGTAGACCCCCGAGCAGACCCGCAGCACGCGCGGGAGGGAGGCGGGGTCCAGAGCGCAGACGAAGTCCTGCAGCGACGCCGGCTCCATGGTCGCGGCTCGGGGACGCCTGCTGAATGGCCCGCCGCCCGCCCGCGGAGCCGGCAGCCCCGCCCGGCCCCGCCCCGCCAGGATGGGTGGAGCCGCTCCCGGAGGGGTGGGGACCCGGCCCCGCGCTCTTGGGTAAGCGATTTCCCGCTCCCAGCCTCAGTCTCCGCGTCTCTAAAATGGGGTTGCAGTACCTACCTCTCACGGTTTAGGTCTAGATCAGGACCTGACACCGGGAGGCTCTGAGTCGATAAAAGCTGGTCCCCACGTCCCTAGTCGTCAGTGATGTGCCCCATGGTGGAGGGGGACGATGATGAAGATGAAGGAGAAGCCCCAGAACACCCGTACACCCCCGCCCCCCGCGCGGTCCTCCCTCTTAGAACGAGGGAACGCGGCCCGCCTTGTGTAGCTGGGTCTCTAGGAAGACACGGCCCTGCCCTTTGGGTCTGAGGAGGAAGATATAGTGTCAGGTCTCCTGAACCCCCTCCGGGACACTCCGTGGTCCTGTGCTGGCGGGGAACTTATGACCGCTCCTCTGGACAATTCTAGTTACAAAGTCTTCCTTGGGCTAAAGAGAAATCTGCTTAGAACAGATACGAACCGGTTCTCCTGACCCCACAGAGACAGATGAGGCTTTTCCATTGCCCTGTCCCTCCGGAGTCAGACCGGACAGAAGTTCAAATCCCAGCTCCGCCTATTGCTTCTTATACAACTTGGGGCAAATCACTTCGATTCTCTGAGTTTCGATTTCCGCATCTATGAAATAGAGGAGAGAATCTTTTGTGAGGATTAAATGAGATGATATAGGTTTGCACAAAATGCTTTATTTCATTTTTTGTCACTATAAAAGTAACAGAAGCCTTATCAGAAATAATAACAAAAGTTTAGAGGGCCGGCCAGGTGGTGCAAGCGGTTACGTGCGCGTGCTCTACCGCTAGCGGGATCCCGGCCGATGCACCGCTTGTCAGGCCATGCTGTGGCAGTGTCCCATATAAAGTGGAGGAAGATGGGCACGGATGTTAGCCCAGGTCCAGTCTTCCTTCGCCAGCAAAAAAAAAAAAAAGAGGAGGATTGGCAGATGTTAGCACAGGGCTGGTCTACTCACAAAAAAAAAAAGAAAGAAAGAAAAGAAAAAAAATAAAAGTTTAGAATAAAAGGAATAAACCCTAATTAAAAACATTTGACACATAAAAAGAAGACATTCTTTTCCCACCACCCAAATATACTTACTACTACTAACATTTTACTGTGTTTCTTTCTAGGCTTTATTTTGCCTCTGTGTGTGTGTGTGTGTGCGCGTGTGCGCATGCCCGCTCGCGTATGTGTGTGTTGACTTACAGTAAAGTTGCAAAAATAGTAGAGATTTCCCAGACATCCCTCAGCTAGTTTCAGATCCCCTAATGCTGTCATCTCAGGTTACCATGGTGCAACCAACATTGCTACGTTACTGTTGACTGAGGATTTATTTGGATTTTATCTGTTTTTCCACTGATGTCCAGAATCCTGTCCAGTATTCTATATTGCATTTAGTCATCATGTCCCCTGTCTGTGACACTGTCTCTGCCTGTCCTTGTTCTTCTTATGACCTTGGCGGTCTTGAGAAGCACTGGTCATGTATTTTGCAGAATATCCCTCAGTTTTTTTTCTGATGTTTTCCTAGTGACAGACTAGACCGGGGTGATGGATTTCAGGGAAGGATACTTCCAAGGTGGGGCGCCCTTCTCATCACAGCCTCTCAGGGGGCACAGGACACGCCCACATGACTTCTCACTGTGATGTTAACCTTGATCCCCTGGTTGGGGGGGTGCTTCCAGGTTTCTCCACAAAGTTGCTATTTTCCCCCCTCCATACTCTGGAGAGTGTGGAAATAAGTCACTCAGTGCCGCCCGCTCTCGGGGGGAGCTAAGCCCCACTTCCTGGGGGAGGGAGAGCACCCCAAAAATTACTTGGAATTCCTCCGTAAGAAAGGTTTGTCTCTTCTCCCCCATTTATTTATTTATTCAATTATTTATTTATGTCAGCATGGACTCATGTATATTTATTTTATACTTTGACTTATAATCTAATGCTATATTATTGATTTTGTTGCTCAGATTCTTCCTGCTTTGGGAGTTCCTTCCAGCCAGCTGCTGGGTCCCTTTGCCTTGTGGTTCTGTTCTCTGAGCACTTCCTTACTGTGTGGCCTTCCTGCTCCAGGCTTATCTCGTCTTTTCCCTGCCCCCACCCTACAATCAGCCATTTATTCCAGAAGCCCTGGTTCCTTTTGTTGGAGAATGAGGTTTACAAACCACGACCTGGTTGCTGAGAGGGCTCCTTGCCCCTGGGTTGCCTGTTCTTGTTTGTCTTTTTTCTTTCCTTGCCTAAACATTTACAGACACTGCTGTCTGCCCCAGGACCCAGCCAAAATCAGGGCCAGCCCTGACCTTCAAGGTGAGATCTTGGGTGATAACACTCAACAGAAAATTTCAAATCCTCTCGTTTCACTTTGCTTTTATCTTGTGAGCATTTTCCCGGACTCCTGGGCACAGAAGTGGATTATTGAAGTTAGTAGACAGAGGCCTGCTACGACCAACATATGGAAACCAGTTCCTTGCCATTACAATTTGCAGTTACTATTTATCGTGTAATTATTTGCTTAATGTCTCCTCAGCAATTGACAGTTGGCTTCTGGAGAGCAGAGACCAGGGTACCAATCTGCTTTCCTCCCCAATGTATCCCTAGCATGTCGGACAGGGCCTGGCACACAGTAGGTGCTCAACAAACCAGCATCCTTGATGACTCACTGAATGAATGGATGGGAAATGCTTCCTTGGGATAGATTCTTGAAGCAGAATTTCTGGGCCAAATGGTGTGCTTGTTTTGACAGCCTCTCAGGGAGTATTTCAGTCGTGTTGAGAGACTGCTGGGCTTCCAGTGGATCTGATAAGAAAGGAGGACTTTTGCAAGAGCTGAGAGGAGCGGCACACAGAGGCATGCAAGGGGCCTCAGGCCCAGGAGGAGGGTCTGCTAAGCAGAGGAGATGGGACAGAGGGGGCATTTCTACATGGTTCCGGAAACATCGGCAGGTGTGATTCTGTGAGCACCTACTCTGAGCAGGCCCTGTACAAGCGTCCACTAACTTAATCCTCCCAACAAGCAGACAAGACAAACATTATCATTCCCACTTTACAGGTGAGGAAACTGAGGGTCAGAAAAGTGAAGGGACTTGCCTAAGATCATGCAACAAGAAAGTGGAGAAGCTAGGATTTTAATCCAGCTCTGCTGGGCTCCTCCTGTGGGCTGGAGAAAATGGCAATTCTTCATCTCTTCCCCACGTGTTTCAGCAGGCCATGGAAGTCTGACAGATTTCCTGCTCAGTCCAGTTTTGCCTAGAATTGCAGTAAAGGATGAAGAATAAAAAGATGGGCTTTGACGATAGAGCAGCGCTCAAATCCTGGCTCCACCACTTCTTAGCTGTGTGACTTGGGCAAGCTCCTTAACCTCTCTGAGCCTCAGTCTGCTCTATACAACCGGGACTGGTGGTAGCGGGGGTGTTGATGAAAACAATAGTGTAACACAGGCACATGGCACATGACAAGTGCTCACCGTCTGTTATCATTATTATTTCCTGAGGGCCTCTTGTGCCTCTGACATTTCTCAGAGATCTCAGATCTCATTTACTTCTTTCCACACTCTGCTTTCTACTTTAGGAAAATAAGATTCTGAGAGGGAAAGTGTCTTCCTTTTCATTACACAACGTGCAAATGGAGGAACTGGAATTCGAAGCCAGGCCTGTGGTCGCCATGACTCAAGCCCTTTCCGTTTCCCCACGCTGGGGGCACCCGCTGGGTCTCCCCTGGCTCCTCAAGAGCTGAGCGGGCCGCGGAGAGGACACGAGTCACACAGAGGTGGGGGGGGTAGGGTGGAGAGGAGCCGCGAGGAGGATGGTGACGACGACGGAGCCCCGGAGTTCCTCGCGTCACGCACCAGACTCCAGCAGAGTCGTCAGACTCCGAAGGTGAACGTCTCGGAGCCTCCGGGGGGCGGACGCTCGTCAGAGTAGCAGGGTTCTCAGCGTGACGGGGGGCGGGGGCTGGGCCCCTGACTGCCGCGTTGGCGCCAGACACTCTTGCACGTGGCATCGCGTGGCCTGGTGTTTTCAGGCAACGTACAAGGGGGCGGGGTGGGAGGAGGGGAAGGGGCCTCAAGTTGGTGCAGCACGGGACGGTGGTTGTTACAGCATCCTGCTGTTCACTCGAACGTCCACCGATGGCACTTTGGCCCAAGGCAGTGGAAGACACACTAGCAGTCCGGAAGGTCAAGACCCGGTGTGGGAGAGAGGCGGAGGGCGCCTCGGCTCCGAGGGTGAGCGAGATGGCCGCAGGCTCGAAGCCCTCTGCCTCCATGGGCTTCCCCAGGCTCCTGTGGACTTCTTCCTCTCTGCACCAGTCTGATGGCTGCTCTGAGGTGGCCTTGAGAAATGCGCTCTTTCACAAGTCCCCTGGCAGTCTGTCACATGATGATCCTCCGGGTGTGGAGGCGCCCCACCAGAGCAGATACACATGGGGCGTCCTCTCCCTGGGAGAGCCAGATCCCATATCTTGCCAGAGGCTCGTGCAGAGACAAGGGCCTTAAAACTCACGGGATGAGACCAGAAATGCTCAAACGCTCACCATCAGGGGACCCACGGGGACTTGAAGGGCGATCTGTGGTCTTTTCTCTGTTTCTTAGATTTTCTATAGCAAGGTTTGTAAAGACAATATGAACAGCTCCCTGCCAAGGATTCCCTGAGGCCATTGTGGAGACCCTCCTGGAGGGATGCCCCTCCCCTCGCAGACTTTCACTGGGGGGAAAAGGCACTTCTGGAAAACGATATTCAATATCCTTATATCCTCAAGGAGGAGAGCACGTCTGGTTGTAAAGCTTTGAGGGGCTGACTGACTTGTGCTCTGGTGTGCTGGGAAAGTAAGCTTCAAGCCCTCTTGCTTTCTTGACCTTGTGAAGCAGGGGGCAGGCAAAGGACCTTTTATAACCTCATTTGTGGGGAGGAAGATGAGAAGGAG